GCAACTTTGTAGATTTAATATTTTCCATCTGCTTAGAAAGAATGTGTGTTCTCTGTAATATATGTATTTCTAGATGTCTGAATTAGTTCAATCTTATAACGCATGCTTTGCCCTAAAATCCTTTAAGTCTTAGTTAATTAGATCTTTATCTGCTAAATTTATGCCCCCCCATCATGGAAATTTTAATTGTTACCTTAAACGTCAAATCTATATTTTTTTTTTAATTTTTTTTATTTTTATTTTATTTATTTATTTTTTTTTGGTTTTTCTCCGGTACCGGGAACCGAACTCATGACCTTGCGCTTGCCAGGCAGGCGCTTTGCCGCTGAGCTAAATCCCCAGCCCCAAATCTATATTTTTAGATTCAGATATGTTCATGATTACATCTTATTGGTACCAGTATGTGATGTCTCTTATTGTCCATCTTGATGTTTTTATTTTTGAATTTTATCTTGTCCTGATATTAAAATTTTGATAGCTATTCACCCATTGACCTCCAAAAAGACTACACTTACATACTTCACTTGACTTACATTACCTGAAATTCTTCATTTCCCCCTCAGTCTCAATGTGACACATTTTAAGGCCCATGTTCCAGTCTTCTGTCTTTATTTGTAGTTTGGAAATTGGACCTGAAATGGACCTGAAATATATTCTGGCACTTTTAATCCTAATTTCATTGGCTGTTATATTCCAACCACAGTGTCCTTAATTAATCACTCTGGATGGTATCCTGACTACATTAAAGGATAGTGCTTGGGAATTTTGATTTAAAATTATTCATTAGATCACGTTTTACTCTTCCTGTTGGGGTTGTCCCAGGACTCGGTTTTCTCTCAGGAGAGGGTTGGCCCAGCTTCTCACCCTCATGTATGTCCCTTGGCATCCTCTGTGAGCAAGTGTAGACTGTTTCCTCCTATAGTTACCCTGGACCAGTCAAAGGCATGAAGGTGGGCTGCTGTGGTCTTCGGCTTGCTGGAGATCCAAGGCTCACTGAGCCCAAGTTTTAAGGAAGCAGAGGGTCAAATAGGTGAGCAGCAGTCAGTCTAATCCTGCTGCCCTGTTACTGGTTCTATTTTTGCACCTAAGTGCCTGAACTCATAGCATGATTTGGGAGGCTGAGCTCCACTGATTCCCAGCAATGACCCTGGCCCAAATGACTCTTGAATTCTGCTGCATGTCTGGTGAGCTGTCAGTGGACTCTGCTGTTACCCCAAGGCCATAATGTGACATCTTTTTTAAGAAGTTATATCACTGAGGGAACTATTAGCTCTTACCCCCTGTGAGGTTCCTCTTAACATTCCTCTCAGCCTCTGTCTGACATTCTTTCACTCCCACCTCCCACATGCTCACTTTGTGCTTTCATAAATAGCCAGAAAAGCTTCTAAAAGCTTAAAGGTAACATCCTTTGCTTCCGTGGAGTATTTTGTATTCTTCAAAGTACTTCCATATACATATTATCATTTGATCTTCACAAAACCTTTCATTTATGTAGGTTAGGTATATTATCCTGATTTCACCGATGACGAAATAGAGTCAGTAATTAGGTGACTTGTCCATCCTCAGGTACTTTGTTAATGTGAGCCTGGTTGAAAGCTCAGGTTGCTGATTTCATTCATTCGTTATCTGTTAATTCATTTATCCACTCTTACTGAAAAATGGCCCCATTATGGAAAGTGAAAAAAATTTAGAGTCAGACAAGTTTAGATTTGAAACTTGATACAATTCTCTGTTTGTTATATGATCTTGATTGTGTACTTAACCACTCAGGTCAGTTTCCTCATTTATAATACAGGGAAACAGTATGACTTGTGATGTTTTAATAGAGAACAAAAAATGGAAGAAAATTTCCTGGCAATAATAGTGCCTGACACACAATAGGTTGAACTATTATAGATAAAAATGGTTCAATATCACAGTTTTATATATGGTCTAATCTAGTTGTAGAAACTTAATATTGAGTATATTTTATTGAATAATTCTCTATTTATTGTATATGAGGTAGTACTAGATTCCAAGAATGTGAATACAAAGGAGACAGGATATTCCTTATGTGTAGTAGGGTAGTACCTGTATCTGTTGCATCCTCAACACCAAAAAAAGTCTTGAAGGTAGCAGATGCTTCCTAAGTAAATCCTTCCCGAATTAAGAAGATTCTTGCTTGTTAATGAAGATGCTAACAACCAGTGAAGATAGGCAGACACAGGATCCTGTAATTCTAATAAACTGCCCACAAGGAGGTGAACGACTGTTTAAGACAATCAGATGCATAATCGTGTAGTATACCGGTACTGTTAGTTAGATAGACATGTGCCGGCTTTTGTGTGAGCTCAAAGGGAAGCAATGTTCAGCTCTACTGAGGGAGGATGAGATGCAGTGAAGAGGAGGGACTGCAACATCACAGAGCAGATGCATTAAGACTTCTTGGGGTCCATCTGAGGAAGGGAACAATGCTACTTTGCTTATCTTGGACTACATGCTTTCTCTCAACCATCTCTCTTCTAATGTCTGAAATTGAGTTTGTATTCAAAGAACCCTCTTTGTTTGACTCACAGTCCCTCTTTTACTGGTACCTCCCATAATGTAGTGCTTTGTAAAGTGCTTTGCTCCATCCTGAGTATAAAAAGATACTTGGTAAAACCAGAGTTTATTCTTTGAGTATCACACTAGCCATTGCATAACAAAGTGTAATATATTGTGTGAGAAGCAATAGAGGAACACAAAAGACGTTTTAAGGGAGCCAATAAAACCTCAAAGTGCGAGAGTGCAGAGTGCATTAAAGTTAATAAACTGTCATGGCAGACAGGACCACTTTTAAATGTGAGGGAAACGAATTTAGGGACTTGTAACTGCAGGATTAGACTCCCACTGAAATGAAGTTAGCTGTGTGTTTTGCCTAATTCTGAATCTTTTGGTTCTCCTGGAGAACCAGTCCTCAGCCTCCTTGAGGTGCTAAATCTAACTCTTTTCCTCTGAATATTCAGTCTGCTCCACTCTCTCCAGACTGTTGCTTTTCTTTACACTCTGGGAGGATGAATTTAGGTCTTGGTTCTCCTGCTCCATGGGGTGCAGCCCATCAGCCTGAATTATCAGGGCTGTTGGAGTTATTTCTTTTTTCCGTAGTGAAACGGGGACTTGGGAACTGACAGGAGTCAGCTTTGCCCAGACACCACTGCACACCACTGAGCTACTGGTCTGTCTATTCACAAGAGTGAGACAAAGAAATCGACATAGGTCTCCTTCTTGGCAGTGGTGAAGAATGACTACAATGTCAAGGGTTCCAAAATGTTTTTTTGCCAAGAGCTGGACTGGATTTTGTGCTTCTTCAGCCACAAAATGTCCCCATCATCTTACTCCTGAGTTATTAATGCCCTCTGTGGTCAGTGTCCTCAGCCTGAATGCTTGCTTATCTTTCTTTATTTAACATTTTCATTTTTTCTTTTTGTTAGCCAAACTCTCAAATTTTTCATTTTCCTAATATCTCACTTTTTAATTTTTCAAACAAATAGTAGGGAGAATCTTCATCCTTAATTTCTTGCTCTCTGTTATGCCAAAGAGGAAGAATTCCTGATTCAGGATCTGAACCTTGGTGTATAAGAATGCTTTGCTTCTATATTGGCATCTGACTTTGAACAGTTACATAATTGTTGTGAACTTCAGTTTCTCCACTGAGAAATGGGAATAAAGTATCTAATTTACAGGGTTCTCATGAGGACCAAAGACTTGTATATAAGAGGTAGCCGCTACAGTATCACAATAGGTGTATAATAAATGACTATTTAAAACAAAGCAACAAATGTAGGACTTAGTCTGTTAAAATAAGAGTGGCTTTTGGAGAATGATGAGAAACATAAAAAAAAAACGACAAGTCTACAGCATAGTGGAAGATTTAGGATCATGTGTAGAAGTAAAAAGCAGGAATTCTTTGTAGGGAAAGAGTGGTAAGGTGTATGCAAATGTGTTCAGTCACCTCAGAGAAGTCACTGTTATGAGATTCCATTAGAAAAAAATGGAAATCTTTTTCAAAGGTGGTTCTCACATTACTTCACCTATTAATAGTATTTGTCTAAGTTGTCATATTTTGATGCATAAAGAGATTGGAACAATACTTTTCCTTATAATTCAGTAATTGATGATATAAAAGGCAATGTGATAAATGCAATGGAATACAAACTGTAATATGAAAGTCAAAAGCTCTGGGTCCAGATTTGTTTTGCTTAATTTGTTCCTGGTTTTGAACAGGTCAACCAGCTTCTTCAAACCTTGGCATGAAGATCTATACAATGGGAGTAGTGACATTCTTATTTTTTCCCCCACTAGATTTTTATAAGGATCAGTTGTAAGGATCACTTGAAAATACTGCTCATATATCAACTGTCCTTGTGACTTAGTATTAGGGAACAGATACTAAAAGGGTTGCTAGAGCTTTTGCTAGCTCTCGTCCATTGGAAGGCACCAAGAGAAAAGCATCAAGCATGAGGGCCTTCTGCATCTGATGTTGCCCATGTACAGGTCATGTTTGGATGCTGGTCATGTTTGGATCCAGGTCATGTTTGGATGCTGGCCTCTGCTGAACCCATTTTGCTGCTCACTTGGCCAGGAGCAGTTGGAGGATGGGTTCTAACCATAGTGCTAGGGTCATCAACAACAGCAAGACTCTCCTCCTGCAGGCTCCTGCGTGTGTGTACTTGGCATGAATAACTGACATACTTGCATCCTCTTCTTCTTGTGTGTCTCTGTCCCTATGCTGCTGATTGTTATTGCAACAGCATCATTTATTGTCTTGCTCAAAGATATCTGAGGCTTTTGAGAGTTTCTTTTTTTCTCATTCTGCTGAGCAAAGAGCAGAGAGAGATTAGAGACTAGGCTAATTGATAGAAAGTGGGTTTGATAATCAGTAGAAGAAGATGAGGCCCTTGAATTGCAGTGTTCAACCTCTTCAAAGACAGGTTATGTAGTGTGAGTCATATTTTAACCATCTTTTCTCTTTGTCCTTTCAGGGAGTGGACAAGTTAAAGATGAAGCCCAGAGCAGAGTGCTGTTCTCCCAAGTTCTGGTTGGTGTTGGCCGTCCTGGTTGTGTCTGGCAGCAGAGCCCGTTCTCAGAAGAGCCCGCCCAGCATTGGCATTGCTGTCATCCTTGTGGGCACTTCAGACGAGGTGGCCATCAAGGATGCCCACGAGAAAGATGATTTCCACCATCTCTCCGTGGTGCCCCGAGTGGAGCTGGTAGCCATGAATGAGACTGACCCAAAGAGTATCATCACCCGCATCTGTGATCTCATGTCTGACCGGAAGATCCAGGGCGTGGTGTTTGCTGATGATACAGACCAGGAAGCCATCGCCCAGATCCTCGATTTCATTTCTGCTCAGACCCTCACCCCCATCCTGGGCATCCATGGGGGCTCCTCCATGATCATGGCGGATAAGGTAAAAAGGGGCTGAGCTGGAAGAGCTGGGGGCGGGTGTTGGGGATCAAATGATACATTCATTTTGTGGGCAAAGGCAGGCTGTTAAAAATAGAAATTAACTGAGATGCACTGAGTGAGTGGATCAGCTGGACTGTTTTGAGATGGAAGTGTGAGAAAGATGCTGGTGTATAGAGGCTTCTATAGTTTAGAACCGGCTGTGTGTCTGTTTGTAAATGGACTTGCTGAAGTGACTACAAGATGAAGATGCTTGTGGTTCTGATGTATATTTTCTTCAAGGAGGTGTCTGAATGGCTACTTCACAGTTTTAAAGTAAGGCCTGCCTATTTTTCCTTAGTTGTATATCTTCCCCTCCATAATGGTCCTGTGAAAATACAAAGGCAGGTAATTGCTTTCCGCAAAGACACAAATGTCGTAGGGAAGGGACAGTACCCACACGCGTCACTCACAGTGGCCTGGACATCGACATGGATTTGAATCCCGGGAGCTGTCACGACGGGGTTTTCCAGGCTTAGATTTGAAGGCCCTGCTCCTCAGCTTTGGTTGCACGTTGGAATCACCTGAAGAACTTCCCGCACTCCTGATGTCTGTTTCTTACTCCCACAGACTCTGATGACTGGCCTGGACTTCAGGGTTCTGAAAAGCTCCTACGTGATCCTAGCATGCAGTTAGGGTTAAGAATCACGGCTTTAAAACCCAGAATAAACCCCAATCTTTCTTGCCTTCATATTCAATTGTCTACCGACAAATTATCATCTGAAATTGGTGCTTAGTCTCCAACTACAGAGGAAATGTGTTGTTTCATTTTCACATTTTCAGTCATTCATTATTTTTCCTTGCTTTATTGATTAGTGGGTGCAACACTCTCACGTATGCATTGTCCTCTGTGGCTATTTATGTCTTAAAATGATTCATTTCACCGCCAGTGCCACATTTTTAAACTTTTTATCACTTTGTATTTTTAAAGTTGTCCCTGCTTAGCTTTTACATCTTAAACTTCTTATTATCACTTTCGCAAGTGCCTTTAGTTTGGTACTTGAAAGACATGCTGTGGGCTTAATGATGTCCCTAAACATCTCAAAACCAGCGCAGATACCACAAGTGTCCGCTGAAGAACCACCACGTGCAACAGCTTGGCAGAGACCAAAGTAACCTTGCGTGTCCACTATCGCCATCTGTCGGCGGCAGGCAGAGGCGATTAGCTTGTGGTTCAGCTTTTCTGTATTCAGTCTAGGAAAGATCACAATCAGAGTATGAAGGATGGAAGAGAAGGAAGGGGAAGGGGAATGGGAAAAATTAAGATATACGTGTACAGGCACAAATTCCCTACCATGAATGTGGTCATTATGTATGTCAGAAGTGTACCAATCAATTAATTAAAAAGAAAAACAAAGCATTCAGTGGAGAAACTTCAAATCATTTGCAAAAGATAATCTTCCTTTCATGTGAGCATGGATACAGGTGTTGGAGGACATACACCAGGACAGGTTGCCCCTGCTATGGCAAGAGGGAGAAATTCTAAATGGAACATGTATTCACTGAGGCAAAACCCCTGTAACTTTTGCTTCAGGAATATACTGCTCTAAAATATTATTGTCCTTAGTAAATCATATTTTATTTTAGTAGTGAGATTTTGACAACATAATGTTGCATTGAGATAACGTTGATATAGATAAGAGTCAAATATTTAAATCCTAAATAGGTGAATGCTTCTTTTCAGAGTACCAGAAATAAAAAATGATTTTTTAAAATACAGGCTATTGTACAATCTGTTTTATTTTCTCTCAGGAGAAAAGATTGTGCCAGGGCCAGGGATTATAGCTCAGTGGTGCAGCACCTCCCTGGCAAGTGTAAGGTCCTGCGTTTGATTCCCAGTACCTCCCCAAAATAAATAATCATAAAACTAAGAAGAAATGATTATCCCTAAACTGGTTGAATGCATCTCTCTGGTACCTCTTAGAAATTTATAACATTAACATAAAAATATGAGCTAAAATGCAGCCCATGTGAAGAGTTGTTCTCTGGGGTAATAATCTAGGTGCTTTGAGAGTGTTCACCATCTAGGTCCTCTCATGAGCTAAAATGTTATTTAATCTGTCTCTTACAGTTGGGGAAGCTGAGGCTCTGAGAGGTTAAATAACACATCCAAAATGATACACTGAAAGTGGCAGCCATACTTTTAACGTTTGCTGCTGGCGGCAAAGGCTGTGTACTATTGTTCCTTAAGAAAATGAGACCTGAATTCACCAGGTCACATCCACCTTTCTGCCCTCTCCTTTCTCCTTTGTTACCTGACATTGTGCGGTGTCATGTGATGGACATTGATTCATGGGCAACGCAGGGATCCCACCACAGGAGGGGACTGAGAAGAATGTGACATGACACAGTGTTATGTGTGGCACAATTCCACAGGGGGCCCATTGGAGCAAAAGGCAGCACTGAAGCCAGTGATGCGTGTTCCTGGTCACTGTAATGAGACCCCACTCTGGTCACCGCTTCTTTCCTCCTCTCCTCATTGCTACTGCATCCTTGACTTCATCTTATCTTTTTTTTTTTTTTTTGGTGGTACCGGGAATCGAACTCATAACCTCACACTTACCAGGCAGGTGCTGTGCTGCTTAGCTTTATCCCCAACCCCATCTGGTCTTTTCCTGTCTCCATTAATGAAAGGATGTGAACAATGATTTTTGGATAATTTCTTAAAATAATCTAAACCATATTTAACTGGCTTTTGATCTAAAGAGAAGAATTTCTAAAAAGTAGGCAGCAAGAGGAAAAGAAGAAGGAAGTCCTAACAGCCAGAAAGTTGGGTGCCTGCATGGCAGCTGGAGAGGAAAGTATAGCAGGAACCATAGGCACCAGCAACAGGAGCGCTCAGTGCCAAGATTCCCAGGAGCTGCACAGGAGAGCGTTCATAGGTTCAAAGAATTTGCATGAAAACCAAAAAAAAGTCCCTCAGCCAGGTGTGGTGGAACATGCCTTTCATCCCAGCTGTCCTGGAGGCTGAGACAGGAAGGTCACAAATTCAAGGCCTGCCTGGGCGACTTATAGAAAGCCTGTCTTAATATTAAAATTTTAATTAGTCCTGCGGGTACAAGTTAGTACCAGAGTTCTTGCCAAGAATATTCAAGCCCTTGGGTTTGGTTTAATCTTTGGTGTTGGGTGGTGGGGGATAAAAGAGTCTCCCAGATTGTGGAGAAGGCTTTGGAACAAGTTTTAAACCACTTCAGAATTTAAGGCCATTTTTTAAAAATAAAAATGTATTTTTATATACCATGACCATGACTTTTTTTAAAGAGAAAAAATAACGATTAAACATAGTTTCAAAACAGGTTTGTAGGAGAGTTACAATAACTAGTAGATTGCTTATTATTGTCTTTGCAGTAGTTATTCAAAGTACAAGATATAGGCATGATATCTTGTCCAAACAATATTAGCCCAAACCATTCTTTTTAATGAAGTAAGAGAAACTATCTATATACTACAATTTGTAAACATAGAGTGGGGAACACAGGTTGGCAACTATTAACAACGCATCCAAAGGACCAACGTTTCAAAGTGGAGATAGCTTGGCTGTGTTTGAAACTTGCAGTGACCCTCTGAAGGGTGATAAATAAATCTTCCTTTTCACTTCCTCCTTTTAAGGGACAGGTAATTGCCACTTCATTAAATTTTTTTTTGTTGTTAGTTTGTTTAGAATAAAACCCACTTATTAAATGCTCTTGTCACAGATTGCATTACAGGGACAGAGTCCCGCTTTTGAAAGGGTTTTTAATGTAGAGAAGATGGCTCTATTGTAAAAGACTCTTGATGAAGTAATAGAGACACAGTTCAGCACTTCAGCATCTGGTCACATAGCATGTGTTCACTTTTTTGCATATGCTGATTAATCAGCACAAACATTAATTGGTGCTCTGCTTTCTCGATAAGGAAATATGCATAATACTATATGGCAGAAAGCAGTACAGGGGAGAGTAGAGAAGATCTAAGGGCTCCAAATTTAGAGGCAGAGCTGATTGCAACCATCGCTTCCTAGATGAGGAACTCTATCCTGGCCTCCAACTCATTACTAGCAGCCTTAGTGTCCTGGCTGCATAGTGGGGATAATATGGAGCTGTTATTGGATAGCTGAGGATTAAATTTGCTGAGATAATGCATAGCAGTTGCCTCATGAAGTGTCCAGTATAGCCCTCAACAGGGTAAGCAGGTTATGTGGGGCAGTTTGGAGAGAGTGAGATAGTTCCATGGTATGGGATAAGAGCGAGAATTGAATAATGCTGCAGATAGTGGTGGGGACAGGTCTGAATTGGAGAACAACCAAAAGTCTGGGGAAAGGCTTTGAATTTGGGGGCTGGGGTCTTGGTTTTGTCCCATCAGAGAAACTCATTAGAGTATGAAACTTATCATGCTCAAAAATGACACATTCACCTAAAGGAAAGCTGTAACTAGAAAAGAACTGAGGAGAGCTTGTCACAGAAGACTGTTTATAGTAGTAATGGAGAAAATGTTTAAAAATGTATGAGGTACTTTTTGGCAGTTCCCCACCTGAGTATACAGAACCTATTTTATTTTGCCCTGTTATAATTGCTTTGATTCTTTCTGAGATCCTGGATTTAGGATGCCCGTCCAAACCCAAATAATGAACTACAACTAGATGTACTCCCATTTCTTTCTAAGTATATTCGCTACCCATTTGCCGAAATCTTTCTCGGATTTTCACAATTTAACTCAGAGAGGTTAAGTAACTAATCCAGGAGATCACAGCTCATAATTAGCAATGGGACTGGGATTCAAAGCCCAGGAATACTTGTCTTGAAACCCATGCTGTCTATTATACAATTCTGCCTCATGAGATACTGAACTAAGAATTGTAACTCTCAAGTTTTAATCTCCATTCTGATGAGCTTTGGAAATTTGGGCAATCAGATCATTTAAGCTACATGATGCTCAGAGTATGGCTTGTAAGGCATAATTTTTGTTTTCATCCTACCCAATTTACAG